GAACCTTACTCTTTTCACCATTGAATTTCATTTTATGAGATAGTGTCCAATGTTCAAGTTTGTCAAGATCCTTCTGTATCTTTAGCCCATCTTCTGATCAATTCAACACCTGTGTCAAATGGGCAGCCATAGCCAATTCATTTTTAGATTTATCTGATGCTTGAAAGGCACTGTAAAATCTTCTTAAATTAAATTAAACTTTCTTGCATAAGTTCAACATCCTGATGAATGAGGTTTGACTGGGACATAGAGACTGAGACAAAAGTTATCCAGTGGCTTCCATGGCTGAGGATATACTGGTATCTGGTTCTTAGTTCCAACTCTCAGCTGTAACTACTATATCATCTTCACCACTTTTATATTTTAAAGTGATGCATTCTGGGAAGCTAGAAAGGATATTTCCATATCTCATTGTTCTCAGTTGTCAAAGCTGTCCATCATCTTTTATGAAAAATGACTCAAGACCATAAAAAAGAAGAGGAACTCTCTTGAAGTTACCTTTTAATAGTAACTTTGTGTCAGGCACAAGTGACCAGATTTATGTGTAGAGTTCAAACTAACAGTCAGATAACTTCCATGGAACTTTGTGTATGTGTATGTGTGTGTGTGTGTGTGTGTGTGTGTGTGTGTTTGTTTTGTGTTTTGTGTGTGTGTGTGTGTGGTGTGTTTCAGTCCTGGGTCTGTTGCAATTCTGCCATGATTCAAGGCAAATTCCCTGCTTCATCCCTTCCCCCTGTGTGTCTAGGCATTTCAGAACACTTTATGATAGTAACCTATTCGCATTATGAAATTTTAATGTTTTAAGTTGCCAGGAGTCTTCTCAGTTGTGTGCAATTGGTCATATGTTGTGGTCATATACTGTAAATCTGTTTAATAAATAAATTTGTAGGCACATACCGTATTTTTGGAGTATAAGATACACTGGGGTATAAGACACACCATGGTTTTGAAGAAGTAAATTTTAAAAAAAGTTTTTGCACTCTGCAGGCATCCCAAACCCTTTGCACACCTTGTTTTTTGCAAAAAAGATAAAGGGCATGCAGAGACTTTGGGAAGCTTGTAGAGTGCTCCTGGGGGCTGTGGGGAATGAGCAAAAGTGGCCCTTTGTTTCTTGTTTTTGCCCTCCCCAAGAGCACTTTGCAAGCCTCCCAAACCCTCTGCACATCCATTTTTGCAAAGGGGGCAAGGTTTTGGTAGGACAAAAATGTTGTATTCAGTGTAGAAGATGCACCCAGATTTTCACTCTCTTTTTTGAGGAAAAAAGGTGTGTCTTATGCTCCGAAAAATACGGTAGATTGCAATGCAAAAGTCCAGATGACCATTAGATGGCAGCAAAGGAATACCAAAAGGTCTGTTGGCTGACAACAAGTATTTATCTAGAGGTAATAATCTTGCCCAGTAGAGTTCTTCACTCCTATGAAAAATTAGGGCTGTGTAAGTTTCACTCAAACCATGTTAAGTGCAAATCTTGATATAGTATGCATGGAGTTTTTCTCAGACTTCTGTGATTTGATAGATTTTTAATCAAAGTGAAAATGACTTTCAGACATTTGCAGTCTTACAAGACTTAGCATATATCATCTTTACTTGCAGCTTTCTATATAAATCCATCTATGAAAGTATTATTCATCAATTTAAGGGTTGGACTAGGATCAGATCCAATCTAAATATGAAACTGATGATAAGTCCAAATTATAACCTTCTCCCATCATCACTTTTCACATTCTATGAACTTTGACAAATATGTGATTTTGTAGTAATTTTCCTTTACAAAACAGAACAAATTTAACTTTAAAATGGCCAATAAATATAGTGGGAGTTTCAGGGACCTTTGTCCTAAGACCCACATGGCTAAATTGTAAAAATAGTAGAGTTTTAACTCTAACTTTGCTTCACATAAATCTGAAGTAAAATTTAGGGTCAGATTCATCAATAAATTAGTTGATGAAATGAAGATTATTTCTTACCTTTTGCTCACGCCGCTGAATTCTGCTTTTGGGCAATGGATAGATTTTTTGTGGATATACTACTTCATAATCGTTAACCTTCCCAGCTTCCAAGATTATAGAACTCCCTTCACAAGAAAAGGAAAGAAAAGTTCTACCATGTTCACATCTATAACAGTTATTCAGCTATCAGTGAAGAATGGAATCCTTTTCTGGCGGAGCATAGTACCGAAATTCAGGTTAATTTTCTGCATATGAAATTTGCTAAATGAAATTTGCTAAATGGGAGTCTAACTGGAGACATTGCTTTGGGAGGCCAAAAAGAAACATGTCAGCCACTCAAATAAATAGCAAAAGGAATAAATAAAATTCAACCACTGAATGGAATGATGATGAGTGCTGCGGATAACATGGGAAATGGGATATCACAATAGACTGATTCACACAATCCAATAAACCAGGCTATATTGTGGTCTAGCATATTCATTAGTGAGCCAGCTAGACAAACCTAGTTTATTATTGAAATGTAGCTGATTAGGAATTCTTTTCAAGAATAATACACCATTTACAAGATGAAAGAGGAAATATACAAAACCGAAATGAAAAAATGTACAGAAATTTTTTGAGAAACTATACAGCAAAGAAAACATATTGCAAGACAATATCAAACAATACTTAAATAAAAAGAATATAAATGAAATTTTAGGAAGAGAGAAGAGAAATCTAAACAAAAAAAAAATCACAATGATGGAATGAAAGGAAACACTGAGGAGACAAAAACATAATAAAACACCGGGCCCAGATGGTATACACGTAGAATTTTATAAAGCCACACAAGAGCAGATAGAAACAGTGATCTTAGATTTATTTCATGAAGCACTTATAGAAGCAAAGCTACCAAAATCATGGAGGGAAGCATATATAACATTGATACCCAAAGAAGATTCGGACCATCAACAAATAAAAAATTACAGACCAATTTCTTTACTGAACGTAGACTACAAAATCTTTACATCAATAATATCAGTGAATAAAAAAAATATTAAATGAAATCATTCACACAGATCAAAACAGCTTCTTACCGAAACACCAGTTAAAAAATAATTTGAGGATAATTATAAACCCGCTAGAATACTATGAAGAGAATCCAGGGAAACAGGTTGCACTGGTCCTTTTAGATGCCAAAAAGGTCTTTGACAATTTAAATTGGCAGTTCATTATCACACAGTTAAAAATGATGAGATTTGGAGAAAACTTTATAAAGATGATAGAATAAATATATTTGGCCAAGGCAGCAGAAGTAATAATAAATAGTGACACTACAGAAGAATTTAAAACATGTAAAGAAGTGAGACAAGGATCTCCATTATCACCTTTATTATTTATATTAACACTGGAAGTTCTATTAATAGAAGTTAGAAACAATCAAGAAATAAAGGGATTAAAAATAAAAAAGAGGAATGTAAAACACAGGCATTAACGGTCAATATGGTATTTGTATTAGAGGAACCATTAAAATCAGAAATTAAATTAATCCAAAAAATAGAGGAATTCGGTAGGGTAGTGGAACTTAAAATTAACAAGAACAAAACAAAGATCATTACAAAGAATTTCACCAAAAAACAAGAGCAAGAATTAGAGGAAAACATAGAAATTCAGATAATAAAAAAGGTAAAATATTTAGGAATTTGGCTGACAGGGAAATGCTGAACTATTAAGGAAGATAATTACGATAAAATGATTCAGAAAATTAAGAAAGAGTAGGAAAATTGTAGGAAACTACAAATATTATTAATGGGAAGAATCGCTATTGTAAAAATGAATATCTTACCAACAATCTTATTTTTATTTTAAATGGTACCAATCAGCCTAGGGATTTTTTTTTCATTTATTTAAATAAACTAATTGCACAATTTATCTGGTCAGGAAAAAAAACATGAATTAAATTAAAATTGTTTCAGGACAGTAGAGAAAAGGGAGGATTTGGACCTCCCGATTGGGAGCTTTATTATCAAGCAGCAGCTCTTACTTGGATAAGGGACTGAATCAATCCAAAAATCAGAAGATTGCTAACAATAGAAGGTTACAATTTGGAGCTGGGTTGGCATGCCTTTATCTGGGATGGGAAGGATAAAACCCACAGCTATTTCCGAAAACATTTAATTAGAAAAGCTCTACTTCAAATATGGTTAAAAATTAAAACAAAACATTATAACAAAATTCCAATCTGGCTATCCACCATGGAAGCTCTGATATACCCGAACATATTGGACATCAACAAGATAATAAGATATGAAGAAATATTAGGTAACTAAGAAAGACTAGAAACAAGACAAGAATTGAAAGACAAGGGAATAGACATAGGCTGGTGGCCGTATTTACAAATACAGGCAAGGTATAAAAAAGACAGAGAAAGGGATGGATTTTATAAGGAGCCACAAGAACTAGATAAAATTCTACAGGGAACTGAAGAAAAATTGATTAAAAATATATGGCATTTTTTATTAAAATTTAAAATAGAAGAAGAAATGGTGAAAGAAACGATTATAACATGGGCAACAAATTTTGGGTATATTATAGAATTGGCAGAATGGGAAAAAAATGTGAAATAAATTATTAATTAACAATGGCAACGGCATATAGAGAGAACATATACAAGCTGTTTTACAGATGGCATCTCCCACCAGCAAGAACTGCGAAAATGTTCTCGGAGTGCTCACTTATCTGTTGGAAATTCAAACGACAACAAGGAACATATGTGGTGGCTGTGCACATCTGTGAAAAAATATTGGAAAAAAATAAAAGATTGGCTAGAGGAGATCACCACACACCAAATTGAACTAAAACCGGAATTATTTATGTTAAGAATTATAAAAAGAAATTATGAAAAAAATATTAGATATTTAATTCTACACATAATCATGGCAGCGAGAATTACATTTGCACAAAACTGGAAAAATAATTAGACACCAACAGAAGAAAATATAATTAACTTTTTTTTTTTTTTGAATGTGCAGAGATGGATAGGCTGACGAAATAATTAAAAGAGAAAGAAGAATGTGAATATTACTCCATATGGGATTTATGGTATGATTGGATAGAGGAAAAGGGGGGGGGGGGTAGGAAAGCGAAAAAGAAAGGAAGAAAGAAAGATCAACAAATTAAAAAACAACTACAAAACTGGAAAATGATTAAAAGATGGAAATATGAAATAGACTGTTGCAAATAAATAACAGGAAATAGATACAAAAGGAGTCAAATGTAATAAAGGTTGTTATAAATAGAATATATAGAATGAAGAAAAAAGATGTATGAAAGAATATAAATGCATGTATACACACACACACATACACACACATATGCATTTTTAGTCTTTCATACATCTTTTTTATGTACTGATAAAAGACTCACAAAAGATATGTAAAAGAAGTGTAATGTGTTGCAAAGATGTGATGTTTACATAAACAAAATAAAAAATTAAAAAGGGAATTATTTTCAGTTCATCTGTTATTTCACGGTCATGAAAATAATTTTACTGACATTCTTTTTCTTTCAAAAATATCTATGGAGAATACATAGTATCATAGTTATCAATGAGACCATGTACATAATCAGATTCAGTGATTTTTGACCCATAGTTCAAGAGTTTGGAGTTGGTTACCATGTGGACATTGAATGCTCATCTGCTATTTGTTCCTGAACATATGTTTTAAATGTGATGAGTGGCAGCACCGCCACCTACAAGTAGTCCTTGACTTACAAGAGAAGCTCGGAAGAGACATGCAAATGATCACAATAAGACGCTGGACACCGGGGGTGATGGTGGCGCCCTCTGCTGCTTCTTCTGCTGCTCCCAGGGGCCAAAGTACCTGAAAGAAACAGGTACCTGCACTGGCTGTCTCCCTGGTGATGGGCGGGCAGTTGCGGGCGCTCCACCAGCTTGGGTGCAGCTGGACCGGAGCCCTTTCTCTTCTCAGAAA